TTACTTTGTTCAATGATTCATGCTTTTCATTAAATTTTAATGATTCAACCATTGGATTAAAAGTTCTTAATGTATAGATCAAGTTTGTAAATTTTTAAAAAATTTAAAATTCATTTGATATTTCATTTCATTAATTCAAATTGACAGATAATTATAAAATTATTTTATGCATTGATTTGAATTAATAAAATGAAATATCAAATAATTTTTAAATTTTCTGAAAATTTGTAGGCTATGCATTAAAAACTTTAAATTCAACTATTAAATTGTTAAAATTTGATGTATAATATAAGTTATTGAATGAAATAAGTTTAGATAGATTTATTCTTGTATATATATATATATATATATATATATATATATAATTCTTTATCTACAGAACATTAATACTCCATCTATTTATTTTTACTAATTGAACCAACGTATATTATCGTATTGATTAGGGGTAATTTACTTTAAATAATTATTACAGTATAATTTAAAATTAATATAAAAGAGCTGGTATTGTATTTCTAATTTACTAATATTTAATTGAACCAAGTTCTATTACCGTACTTGGTGGTAATTTATTTTGAAATGGCTATTCTAATATCTTGTAAAAAAAATAGTTTCGTAAGTAAAGTGAAAAATATTTTTCATATACTAAATTCATGTTAGAATATTATAACCTGCAAGGTGGGTATTATTGTTTTTTGAATTTAATTCATCTGCTTCTATAGACGGCAAGTTGTATTTTATGCGGGATAGAGTAGCCAATCATTTTAATCTTTAATAAATAAATATTTAAAATTAAAAATGTTAAATCAGTCTTTAGAATATTAATAAATCGCTAAATTTTATTATCTATTATTATTATTTTAATTTTTAATAAAAATATATTTTTTGAATTAATGTTTGTCAATTTATACCCTTAAGGTTTATTTGACATTTTCATAGTTTTAAGAACTCAATACTTTTTTTTAATTCAGAGAACAAAATAATCATTTAATTACTGAACTAATATCACTCATATCCTATATATAAGAAATTATGCACTCTGGTAGGATTATATTGTTTGTTGAGGATATTGTAAATTTTAATGGGAAAGTAATACTATTAACTCTACGGTTAAATACAACCTTCCTCTCGTTTATATAAGAAATATATGCTCTTTTTTAATTCTAATTCTAATTATAAAAAAAAATGTACTTTAATATATATTAATTGTTTTTTTTTATAATTTTAATTCATGGTTTATGAAACACATACTCAATCCTCATATAAATAGATATATTTATTGTCTATTAATAACACAAGTCATAATTGATGTAAAAAAAAATATCTTCAGTCAGTGTAATGGCATTAAATATAATAATTATTTAAATCATTTAATTCATAGTATTTTGAGAATGAAATTTAAATTCATAACATTATTAATTAAAATTAGTTAATTTAATTATTTTTTATTGAATTTGATAAATTAGTTATTTGTTTTTTTTTTCTTTTACAAAGGATTGTAGCCGTAGGTAGTAACTTCTATTAAAATAATTTTAGATATTATTCATCAAGATTTTTGGCATGGAAAATCACTCCATACAACTTCTTAGATTACCTTTACATTTAGCAATCATTTTATTCTATCAAAGTAGTGTGCGTTGCCACATTAGTTTGTAAAACTAAGGAAAACTAAATTCCAAAAGGGTCAAATAAGTTTTTAAATTTAATATTTTCATTTTGGTTTTTGAATATATATATATATATATATATATATATATATAATTTTATTCACATGTTTTTTATTTTAAATTGAAATTAATGTGATAGTCAATATTTACTTTCACATATTCTTAAGGGGGTGTATTGGTTTAGGATTTCCTAGGATTTTAAAAGACTTTTTTTTGAGTAAAAAAGTTCATTGGTATTCAATCAGGATTTTATGTCACTTAAAAACAATCCAGTGATATTCAATATGGATTTTCAAGATTTTTTAAAGAGTCCATTAAAATCCATTAGTATTCATTTGAGATTTTTTACAACTTAAAAACAACCCACTTGTATTAAAAAATATAAGGATTTTAAAGGATTGTTGTGTGTGAGAGATTTTGAAGGACTTTCTAGTGTTATCTATAAATACCAAATTCATAAAACAATCTCATCCAAACCCATTGGATTTTGAAGGATTGTTTAAAGTGACTTTTCAAGAATTTTCAAGTGAGTTTTTCATCTTTTTTTTTCTATGCTTCTGTCTTCTCTATTTTTTCTCTGCTAATAATAATGCATAATAATAATAATAATTATTATTATTATTATTATTATTATACTAATATTATATATATTGCATATGTAATTAGGTAAATATTTTTTTGTAGATTAATCGACGCCAATTTTTAGCTCCATTTTGAGGTGTAAGATATCATCTACAAGATTTTGCAGGTAAGGGTAATGACCCTGAAAATGAGAAAGAATTGCTCAATCTTCGTCATGCGTCTTTAAGGAATGTGATCAAGAGAATATTTGGTATTTTTAAATCAAGGTTCACAATTTTTAAGTCATCACCTCCATTTTTATTTAAGACACAAGTAGAACTTGTGTTAGTATGTGCAACATTACATAACTTTCTACATAAAGAATGTCGTTCTGATGAATTTTCAATTAAAGCGGTGGATGAACCTTCATCTCCAACGTTACCAGTTAATGAAGATCATACTTTTGAACCTATTATTCAAACTCAGGAGCAAGAGCGAAAAGACGCTAATGTTTGGAGGACTAGTATAGCTATGAATATGTGGGTGAATGCTATTTAAGAAGATAAGATATGGAGAATTATTATTATTATTATTTATCTAGACATTATTTTTTTTATTGTTTTTGTTTTTGACTCTTTTTAAATTTGAATGTATGAAAATTTTTTTGAAATCTTATCAAATGTCAAAAATCCACGAAAATTCTACAAAATTCACAAAATCTCACAGAATCCATTAAAATCCTGATTTAAAAGTCTTGCAGAATCTATTAAAATCCTGATTTTAAGTCTGGTAAAATCTTGCAAAATCTTAAAAATCATAAAAATCCTGCAAAGTCTTTTAAAATTCGCAGGATTTTTTTTAACTAAAAAGGTCTTTTAAAATCCTAATCCAATACACCCAAGTATGCGACAAATTCAAGGAACAATATCCAAAATTATTAATTATACTAATTTCCACTAAGCTATAATAAAGTTTGAGACTGCCCATTGTCCAAAGTCTGCCCATAAAGACGTATAATGGTCGCTATGCAGAATTCGATATATTAATAAACAAATATGCCTCGCACTTCTTGAAATAATAGAGTCTATTGGTTATTATTAATATTAAAAAGAGGTTAATTGTCATATATGTACAATGTAAATTACAATGTTAACTAATTAAATATTATTATTAGTATGATATTTTATTTATTTATTATAAAAGTCAATAAATAATCATAAATGATAATTTGTGATTGAAAAACATTGTAAAATTAGTGTATCATTTACTTTCTTTTATAAAAAATACATTAAAAGCTCGTCAATACATATTTTCTTGGGTTTCAAATATAAGAAGAAAAATTGCATGTTTGTTAGTGGTACAAGAAATAATAGTAATAATGATAATTATTATAATAAATATAATAAAGATAATTATTATGGTGACAATATGTGATATTTTTTTTGTAATTTTTTAATTTAATTTGTCTATTTGAATCTAATGGTTATTATCAATAGTTCCCATTTCTTTATATTAAAAAAATTCTTATTTGAAATAAACACATATACAAGAATTGACTTATTTTAAGTAAATTTTGATAAAATTATTTTACTTAATAACTCATGAACTATTGAACTTTTCAATAATTTTTATTGAATTAAAAATTTTTAATGAATAAATTAACTCTATAAATTTTAACAAAATTTAAAAACTTTGATAATCAAATATATCAATTCAAAATAGAGATATAATAAGTTTAGGAGCAAATAAATTTCTCTCAT